CGAAAGAACTGGTGAAGGTTGCGCTCGGTTGCAATACGAACCGCATAGCCAGAGAGCTTCCAACTAACATCCGCAAGCCAAAATGCTCCAATACACAGTGCACGGATATCATCCAAGGTATGATGGTGGCCCAACATAGACTCCGATGCCAATCTTGCAAACTCGGTGTAGCATGTATCAAACATGCGTTCCTTGGTTGGCATGTGAAGCGCGGTGACAGCCAAAATTGCGGCAGACAGCATGGATGAAGACCGTCGAACAGACGTCAAGTCTTTGTGTGCTAGCAATGCTCCATCCCATAGGTAGCGGTTGAGTACCTGGTCGAACTGATAGAACAGCTCCTCCGCTTCCTGGATATCAACCACTCCGCGCGAGATGAGATCAGTGACCAGTGCTTGGTCCGGGGCAAGCTTTTGTCCGGGCGAGCTCTCACGATTTTCACTGAGCTGCGTCACCTCATATAGACTGCCCATCGGTGCTGTGACCAGAGAGGTTGCGCCAGTTTCCTCGCGGTCCAAAGAATATCGTGCCTGTTGTTGGGGGAAGCCATAGTTGGACCTTGCAGCTGTGCCATTCCTTATTGTACTGCCGGCTGGCTCAGCCCTTTTATATTGCGCAAGTCCATTATCATCAGTCGAGACTGTGGAGTCTTTCCTGCCTCTCTTACTCGAAGGCGTCTCGATTGTACCACCGCCTGCTTGGTAGTATGATAACTCCGGTAGCTGGGATTTCCTGAGCAGGTCTGTCATTGCCGATTCGACCATTGATTTCCACCTGTCGTAGTCGGGGCAATCAGTATATGTTACCGATGTAAACACCGAAGATAAGGCACTTACTCAGCTTCGTCCTCTAGTAAAGTCTGGAGACTTTTGTTCACAACACACTCTAGTCCCATGCGCTGACACCGCGAGCACACGGAGTCAGTTGCCTTCATGTCACAGCGCACCTTGTGCCGCTTACACTCAGTGCATGCCCGTATCCGTCGGGAGATCTTCGGAACATGGTGAGGGCGATCCTCCGGGGTGAAGGCACCCTGCGGGGGAGAAGCGGACGAGGCGTCCCCATTGGCCTCGAATTGAATGCGATTCCGCTTCATATTAGTGTGAAGGCTGGACTCATCCTCCTCCTGGCGCATTCCGGGGAAGATAAAAAGGCGGGGTCGGAGCAGCTTCACACCCGTCGGCCGGTTCTGGCCCGAATTACTCATTCCCGGTTTCGCTGCCTGAGGCAGTCATGCATATTCAGGCCCAGATAAGGCACACATCGGTCTGAGCTTCGCCGGTCACATGATTATTTGATACGCTATACCCAATTAGGTTTAAATGGTGTCGCGCTTCCAGCCCAGCGCGTTCGCGTACTGCGACAGGTCAAGCTCAACTTTACACCACAAGATTCCAACTTGAGACAAGCTGGGTTCACGTTCAAGATGGGTATTAAGCGTAAGTATCTTACTCTCTACTACCCACGCCTCTTTACTAAATAAATACCAGACCTGTACCAGGTGATCTCCGAGAATGCCCCCGATGCGATCAAGACGGGGGAGATCAAGAACCACTTCGGCCGCAAGGTCGCAATTGTATGAGTTGTATATCCCACGATATATTTTGAGATGCTGACATATGAATTCTTCAAATTAGGATGCGTACGTCATTGGATCACCGTCCCGGTAGCTCAAGAATCTCTAGCCGCTAACCCAGAATAGGTCTATGAGCATCTACAGTTTCCTGATCGCCGTGCGCTCGGAAGGCCAACAGCTCATGAGTGAGTCCGGCGAGACCACATCCCACCTAATGGGCATGTTCTACCGTACTCTGCGGATGGTGGACAACGGTATCAAACCTCTCTATGTTTTCGACGGAGCCCCGCCGAAGCTCAAGTCCGGTGAATTGGCAAAGCGTGTTGCACGCAAGGCTGAGGCAACCGAGGCCCATGAAGAGGCCAAGGAAACCGGAACTGCGGAAGATATGGAAAAGTTCTCGCGACGGACTGTCCGCGTCACCCGCGAACACAATGCGGAGTGCAAGAAGCTCCTTGGATTGATGGGAATTCCTTTCATTACCGCGCCGACGGAAGCTGAAGCCCAGTGTGCCGTCTTGGCTCGTGCGGGTAAGGTGTATGCAGCTGCATCAGAGGATATGGATACATTGTGCTTTGAGTCGCCGATTCTCCTGCGCCACCTGACATTCAGTGAGCAGCGCAAGGAACCTATCCAGGAGATTCACCTGGATCGAGTGCTTGAGGGTCTCGACATGGACCGCCTACAGGTACGGTATCCTGGTTATGATACGTGTGGTCACAATTGCTAACTACATCTACCATGCAGTTCATCGACCTCTGCATTCTTCTTGGCTGTGACTACCTGGAGCCTATTCCCAAGGTGGGAGCCACCACTGCTCTAAGCCTAATCAAGGAGCATAAGTCTCTGGAGAAGGTCCTGGAGTTCATGAGGAACGACCCGAAGAAGAAATTTGTAGTTCCTGAGGACTGGCCATACGAAGATGCGCGAGAACTTTTTGTCAACCCTGACGTCCGGCCTGCCGATCACGCCGAATGCGACTTTAAATGGGACGCTCCCAACGTCGAAGGCCTGATTGAGTACCTGGTTGGGGACAAGGGTTTCAACGAAGACCGTGTGCGCAATGGTGCCGCTCGTCTGTCAAAGCACCTCAAGGTCGCTCAGCAATCCCGGCTGGAGGGATTCTTCAAGCCCGTTGCCCGGACTGAGGACGAGAAAGCATCTCTCAAGCGCAAGCACGACGAGAAGCTGCAGCAGCAAAAGAAGAAAAAGAAGGAGGATGCCAAGGCGAAGAAGGAGGCCAAGGCGAAGCCTCGTGGAGCGGCCTAGTTTCTTGATGACGAGAGATGCTTTTTTTCCGTCAAAAAAAACATATGATACAAAATTATTTGCTGATCTAACATGGACTGGACTGGCGTGGGCGTTTTGCGGTTTATTTGTTTCATTATTTCTTATGCATAAGGATTATTTTCATTCGTGCGGAGAATGTCCGTTTCGCCTTGTGATCGGGACAGGGCATGAAGTTCCGTGTATCATAGCAAGGGGTGGTCTGATGTGAAACAAATCTTGGGCAATCTGCATTCCGATGCTTCTTTGATGTTCCAGTAATCTTTTCCAGTCCCTTGGACGCCAGGATCAGACAAGATCAAGCAGGGCAGACACGGGCCTCTCGGCTGATCCTCGGCGTCACACTTGATAGAAAAGTCCAAAAACTGTATATTTATTATCTTCCATCTGTTCTCCATACATTAGCATATCAAATCTCCTTTTTAGATGTTCTGGTGTAGCTATTGCAGGGTGTCGATATCCAGCGTTCGCGTACGGAGTTGTATAGATCGGGCCCGATTAGCGAGATTAATCGAGGCCTCACAACACCAACCACGACTGATCTTCATGAAGGAAAGCAGCAAACACTTCGAATGCAGAAAATATATGCTGGTACCAATTACCCTGGACAATCTACACGGTTAAATGATGCAGCAATAGTCCATGTGGTGCAGGATCAGTGTTTTCATCAGCTGAGCCCTTGATTCGACGCGCCGGTTGCGGATGGAGATACGATGATCCCCGTCGCACAGCTACGCTGATGGACCAATAATTGGGGTCATACGGTAGGAAACTAGGTGCTTAGTCCAATGAGATTGTATTTTATTATTATCCGTTTGTGTTGGTTCGGCGTTGGGGCAAAACATGCTCGTCAGATGGGTCCCTCGGTACTTGTATATAACTGTCGCGGGTCGATCCCAGGCTTGCAGGCCACCTTTCTTGTTTCTTCTCGGTAACTTTATGAGTGCGTATCAGCGGGGAAAGGTGGGTTCAGGGCGATTCTTCGTCTTTTATTGGTTGTGTCTGCTGATCCTGATGTGATTAGCTAGTGGCGTTGCCGCCCAGGTAAGAGAGCTTTCCCCTCTCTTGGGCGATATATATCGAGTGCCACCTGATCCTGAGTGAACTCGGCCTTCATAATTATTGAGGTCTGTTATGTGCTTTTGGTATCCAGTTAGTTCTTTAAGATGTAAAGAAAATATATATGTTTATTCCGTCGATTTTGATAATATATATATGTGATCATCAGTATTGCTTCATGATGTGTAAATGCTCATTTCGCTACAATTTTTTATTATTACTATCTGTCCAATCAAAAAGACTGAGACTGAATTCCCATCAGCAATCGCACTTACTTTCGATAGGATACATATAAGAGTTGTTTAGTGTATACTCGTCTCCAAAGTGAGTCTCGACATCATCTAGGGGTTGTACCATGGAAATCGAGTCACAAGTCTTCTACAATCTACAACGTGACCTTTCAGCACGAGGTGATGCAGGTCCCCCAGGTTCCCCCAAGCAAGGAGGGTTTGATGCATCAAGGAACGTTATAGGTATAAAAGGTCATACTATAGGCCCCAAATATTGCATCTTTCGCGTCTGGATTCCAGGTCGCAAGAAGGGTTGCTTGATCCGGCCCAAAAAAGAGGGAAGGGTTACCCCAGACAGCATTGGAATGTATATGAAAAGGATCTTCCCCCGGGCCCTCTCTGCGAGATATGTGCTCGCCCCCAAAAGCCTTCAAAATAGAGTATGCGCGATTTCCATCGAGGGGAAAAGGGACGCGTAGAAGCATCAGCTCACCAGTTTATATGACTATTGTCGCGTTATAATCTTGCGAACTCTTCTGTTATTATAATGCATATTGAAAATAGAGAATAAAGTATCTTGATGTTCCAAGTATTCCATATAAAAGAGAGAGAGAATGTGTAGACATCAGCAATTCTTCAAGTTGGAACGCGCAGAGAGACACTGGCGAAGAACACAGCAAGACAGAAGAGAAACACCACATTAATTAAAAAGAAGAACTAGCTAGAAGATATCTGTCGAGAAAGAAAATCAAAACGAAAGTGCTTTTTTTTCTCTCTGATGATCTTGTTGTCAACACCGGTCGCCTATAAATCACGGATGCCCCGCGGCCTTTCCTCTCCCTTCTGCTCTTTTTTTCTTCCTCTTCTGCTTTCACTCTCACCACCTCTTTTTTTTCCTAAAGTCTTATCATATTTTGATAACTTGACCTTTTCATCTTCTCCTTTTCTCATATTATCTCAATCATCAATCATGCCTCCCAAGAAGGTTACCAGCGCGTCCAAGAAGGCGGCGCCTGCTCCTCACACTTCCTACCGTGGTATGTTTTCACTGATCCTGAATGCGCACCACATCGCGTAAAAGCGACATGGATATGAATCTAGTCGCGAACATCTGCTGATTCCATCGATACAGATATGATCAAGGATGCCATTGTTAGCGTGAGTTGATCACTGCCGGCGCGAGCCAACTTTGTTGTGATTCGGGTCGCGCGCCCGACCGTGACACGTCTTTGCCTTTGGGCATGGACAACCACAACAAAATCAATTATTAGTTTTTATTGGTTCTCATTGCTGACTATCCTTTCTGCGTATAGCTGAAAGAACGCAATGGTAGCAGGTATGTATTCTGGTGTTTCCTTCGTCGCCGATGCCTCTGGGATCGTCCCCGGATTATCGCGCCGTTTTATTCCAGAAATCAGCCACTGACTGAATCTCCCCTATTTTAGTCGCCAGGCTATCAAGAAGTACGTTCAGTCTAACAACAAGATCAACGTCACTTCCCAGAGCGTCTTCGACTCTCAGTTCAACAAGGCTATCAAGGCCGGTGTTGAGAAGAATGAGTTCACTCAGCCCAAGGGTAAGTTCTTATTTCCCCTGCCTGCGCGCATTGATTCTATCCTACTTTGCGTGATTTGATTCAACTTATGTACATTTCGCTGCATGTGTTTTGGATAGTTTCATCCGTTATTTGACCATTTAACTGATGCGTCGCGCTCTAGGCCCATCTGGTCCCTTGAAGCTTGCGAAGAAGGATGCCCCTGTCAAGGCCGCTCCTAAGCCTGCCGCGAAGCCTGTCACCAAGGCCCCTGCTAAGACTACCAAGGTAAGCTCTTATCGAGCATGTATTCCTATGTTCCTTGCTAATTGCAATATAAGACTGCTCCCAAGGCTGCCGCCAAGGCTGCTCCCAAGAAGGCTGCCGCTCCCAAGAAGGCTGCGGTCAAGAAGACCACCACCAAGCCCAAGGCTAACTCTGGCAAGGCCCGCAAGAATCCCGCCGCCGTAAGTTGATTCCGGATGTTCAGTCCATCCCCCCCCCTTGATCGACCCGTTATTGACGAACATTCCAGGCCCCTGCTGTCGTTGAGCAGCCCAAGATTCTTGGAAAGACCAAGTCTGGCCGTATCACCAAGACCACTGCCCCGCAGCCAACAACTACCCGGGCAGCTCCCAAGAAGCGGACCACCAAGAAATAGAGGATTTGATATCCTCTTGTTTTTTTCCACTAGGTTGAGCTCTCCCTATATTTTCACGTGCGCATTTCCAGGGAGAGTACCTGGTACTGATTCCTTTCTTCTCTTGTAATTTCTTTCTTTGGACTCATTGATCTCAGTGGCTCCGATGGTTTCCTTGGCTTTTTGTTTTTCTTTTGTGTTTTTGGGTGTCTTTGTTATGATGGCTTTGCTTCTTTCCGAAGTCCTATGGATGGCGTCCTGCGGTGGGTTTTGCAATGGGGAAATGCAATCTTCTTATTACCTTGCTATTGTGATTAATTCCATTGTCACTGTGGAATTCAAATTGGGTTTGGTCGAATATTGGGGTTAAACGTAGAGTTGTTCATACTACCCAAGTATGTAGACTGTCAAGCGCGTATCTTGTAGTGGTAAACAAACTGTAGATCTCCACATATTCTCCCGTGTCAGTGTTTTATTTTTATCTTCGTATCTTTGTATCATCCTATGGGACCGAAACTAGTATTATTCATTATTTTCATTGGGATTTTGGTGTTCTATTGTCCTTGAGATCGTCCAATCTAGGCTGTTGACGAGAATGCAACGTGCATAAGTCGGAAATTAATGGAGTACAGCGTATACGCAGCATTAATTTGTGAGTAGGAGCGTACTGGAAAACAACCATTATGGAAGTGTTCCTCAAAGTCCTAGGCCTGAGCCATTTTATACAGTAAATCCCCTTTATAACGAACCCGAATATATCAAATATCCGTCTTTTACGATCGGATACCGGAGCTTTATTTAATACATACAATCGTTAGGTAAAAAACGGTAAAATTAGTGTAATAAAACGAGCAAGTGCTCAGCTATTTTCGGAAGCAGTCAATATGTCAGAGAGAGGCCGTAATTTTCTACCATCATTTCTTAACCACAGGGATATATGATTATTGTGACTGAAGTGGCAGACATGCCACCGAAAAACTCGAACAAGCATTCAAGCACATTATCCAAAGACCATTTAGAAGATTCCGAGAGACCATGCCATTCGCCCAGAGAACATTTGCCAGCATGCCGAAGACCAGGGCATAAACAAGGCATTCAAACAGGAAGATGGCAAACCCAATTGCTTCCACCGGCCTAAACCAAGAGAGGTTGATGTCTGTCTTAGTCTCTCTCTTGGTGAATCTATTCAGTTCAATGTTGTGGTTGGTAAGTGAACTAGAATTTGTTCCCTTCTTTCAAAATTGACGCCCCAAAAACATTGATGAGCACGAACTCTTTTGATCTATGTGGAAATATATCAATAGTCTGTTGATGGTTGAAATCATCATCTTGTTCATTACAACTCACCTTCATAAGTATTCGATCAAAGGTTGGGGACAACCGCTGAAGAGCGGTAATAACCACAAGAAGTTGGCACCAGCCACTGAATGAGACTCTGTAAAACACACCAGGCTGGGAAAATCCCATCTTATCCCCCAACTCGTCGCCGCTCAATACACGACAATCAACCTCGATCATTGGCTTGGACACATTAATGCCTGGATAATCCTGGACAGCAGCGACGAAGTTCGCCCCAATGGACTTGGAGGACTCTGTTGGCTCAGGCTCGCACATCATGATACTTTCCATAGTGACCTTTGACTGTTCAGTGCCATCAAAGAAGCTATCTGGAGTCGCCATGACATAGGCGATGTATCGAAACAGCGCGAGGAAATCCTCCGGCTCCTGTGGACGAGGCTAGATGCCGATCTTAGGAGACGGAAGAGCGGCATGCGGCAGAAGATGGCTGTTGTATGGATTGCGTCTCTAATATTGACAGGTGCGCCATACTTGGCCTCATCAAAGTATGCCGGGTTGGTCCACGAGCTTTAGAATGCGATTCCTAACCGTAGCGTGCAATAGACGAACCCGCACGGTCGAAGTGTGTCCCTCTCCACCTGGTTTAATAGATTTAAGATCCATTGTCACTTGCAACAACCACAGGAAGGTCTCGAGGAATCGTCCGGGCATGACTCGAAGAGAAAAGCCCCCGGTTCTGACGAGGACTTCCGTTCCGCCTGCAATTGTCTTTGAAAGTTAGTAATATTCTGTAGATTAAAACTCCACCGGAAGGAATTCTCCACTACAGTGCCTCCTAGAAATCCCTGAAAAGCCAGTCCGGTAAGATTGGGGATCAAGTAGCGATAGAGAAACTCTTGTCCGCGCTCAATTTGTGCCCAACCAACCCATTCAGGGACTGTTTTTACTTCTTCCCAGAGTTCTTGTAACATACTGTCTTCTTCACGGTGTTCCTTCGAAACACTGTACATGTCGAATCGACTAAAGCATTGCCCCGTATTGCTTTGCTTGCTCTTTGCGGAGAAAGCCTGCAGACGGCTCACAGCATCGACGGCAAGGCCATCGGTCTGCGGTCTCAATGGTAGCAGCTCTTCGGGCGTGAAATGTTTATCTGTCCAGGTGAACTCTATGGTTCCACACCTTTCGGGCATTGTCACTGGGGGATTTGAGTGCAGTCATGGTAGTGGTGTTCAATAAACACAGTGGATAAAAATCTTGAAGAGATGGAATCGAACAGATCTGTTCTGCATCTTTTCTCTCCATTGACGACCGACTAATTTCCTATAGGGTTACATCTTGCCCATCTATATCTATGCCAATGAGGGCGAGTAGGTCCAGCATAGTGCACACCCGCGACAAAACCAAGATAGGTGCCAAACGAAGAGCTAGGTCCTTCCCAAATGGCACACGATATGTGACCTTATGCAAGTGAAGCCACACTATTGATTCAGGATCATGAACTACAGGGATAGTATGGATTAGGTTGCAGTGACCCTACATTTTCTTGCTTCTTAAATTAAGCTAAGATGGGAATGGCTAAGTACGCTCTCTGTATTTCATTCTTATATGATTCAATCTTGCTATTGGGTGTGATCTTGGGACTTTGTGGGTACTCTGCCCTAGTTTGGATGGAAAATAGAACACGGTAAATCGAAGGGATTGGTAAAACAGCAAGATATTGCTATAGTCTCTTTTAGTAAAGTCTATATAGCTCTAGTCCGCGAGTTGCCCCGTTGAACGTCCAAGATCGCGCCAGACTCGGCACAAACTTGATGGATCGGGACTCGGTGGGATCGAGGGAGGCCGACCAACTTGCGCCCCGGGGTCATATTCATTGTGAAATAGAATTCAAACAGTATTCGATTGGAAATAATTTATACCTCTATAGCCTTGAATTTAGCGAGTTGGATGATGAATCTGGAATATAAGCCCACGAGCGAGAAATCCTCACTAGCATCCACAGAGTTTACTCGAGGCATGGAGGATGTAAACATAACCTTCTCTGTCACTATGAAGCACAGCCAAAGCTTGAGATAAGATTGGCGATAGAATTTGACAGAGGGTCGAACTAGGCAAGTGAAGTCATATACTTCTTGCTGCAATATTTTCATAATGAAGAACTTCTACCAATTCAAGCAGTGTTGAATATATGCTTGGGGGACTATGTGCGTGCTACGATTGAACTATAGAAGTCATGCGACGAAGCAGAAATTTTGGATGTTCAATGCTACCTTACCATCCGCATGCACACATACTTTGTATAGGCATTCACGTACATCGATGTAACAACCCGTAGGGTATATGATAGCGATCTCCTCTGAAATGGCTATTTCGATATCAAATATTCTAAATCCGACGTTAAAGATGATGACAGGTTGAAGCGAAATCTGTGGCGGAGTATGCCATGGCAGGAAAAGTGAAAAATAGGATAATTGGTAGCGGGGATAGAGAATCGGCTCATTTGTTAGCGAGAAGAGCGTCCAGATACCTAGGTAGCTCCGATATGGGTAGATTAACACTTCAAATTCTGATATACACACGGATACATCTACAATATCGGGTCTTTCTACTCCGTACAGTTTGACTTTTATTGACTCTTATTGGCTCTTATTGACTATTTTTACTATCGGCTCGGATGTTGATATTTGTTCCCGGGCTCGGGGGCGACGGGGACGCCGGTCAGAGAGGATCCTTACTATATTGTATCTTAGTCTCTTTGTACAATGAAGTGGAGAATTTCCCCTGTGGCGCAGATGCGGAAGATTTCATTATTATGTGGAGCCCTATTTTTGGAACAATTGCCTTTGGAGTATACAATATGCATACAACATAAGAGACAGATGTTAGAAGAGTACGGAGTACTATGTCTAGGTCTAATTCTCTATCTCTCCTATCAAAGAAATTGCAGGGTCAGGGAGAACAGATAGGCTCATTGACTTGTAATTGGTCGCCACTCTTTACCCTGCATCTCCACGGTGTATTAGTCTGTATGGAGTACGGGGTATCCATGGATAGGTATTGACCCAGGACAAATGGTACTCCGTACAGCAAGTGTTTTTATATATGACTATATGTGATTATATTTACTCCGTACCCTGCCTTCAATGTTAGTATATAAAGACTCGATGTACTCCGTACAACATATAGAGGGGTTTGTGCAACCCCGATCTCCTTGCATAAACAACTCACAGGGACTGAGGGGTATGGAAGTTAAAGAGAGACCAATGATATTGGCAGTTTATACGGAGTTTATCAGTTATATATCGAAAGTAACAACAGTAGCGGAAAAAGAAAATATGAAAAATGATGTGATAAACCGTGCTCATTGAACATCCGAGTTTTTTTTATGCAGCAGCCTGATACCCAGCCTCCATGGTATTTACCATATTACCTACAACAACCTTGAAATAATTATGTACGTAACCCCTAGAATAAAGAAGTAGAACAGAAGTGTCTATATCTATCAGAATATAATATAAACATCTCAAACACTAGAAAGAAATTCATGAACAAAGTAGACGGATGTAGTGGAGAGTCCACGTACCGATGTACATACGTGTAATTCTTCTCTCCCAGACAACCAACTTCCACCTCCCCTTCTCCTCCCCCCCCATATTTCCCCCATTTTACAACTTCATTTGCCCTGTCTTCCCCTTTCCCTTGCATTGGGCTGAATTATGTTGATCGGTTGAATACCCTCGCCCTGGGCAACACGCTCTATACTTTCTTTGTTTCCCTTCCAAGGTTCTCATCTGGAACTCCGTCCGGTTCACAACTTTCCTGGATCTCCGCCAATAAGGGCGACTGCCGTCACTTCGGGTTGCCGGTCCACGCAGAACTCACGTCACCCCCGTTCTCTGAAATTTCAACATGCCTGCCTTCTCCAACGACGTCTCCCATCAGAGTGCCACTGCCACGGCCACGGCCACCCATCCTCGCTCATTCGAATCATCTCGAAAGTCGCACGATAAGACCCCCGTCGGAAATACTTTCCTGTGGACCAACTGGCCCAACGGCAACGACGCGAATCACGACTCTTATCAGAATGACCGACACCTTCTGACCGACCTTAAGAACGGCAGTGCGTACTCCCTGAATGGCCCTCGCTCTAGTGTCGGCTCCTACACGCGCGACCCGCCCCTGTCCAAGGACGGCAGCATGCATTCGGTAGGCAATGGATCCATGAGGGATTCCCGCGAGAACGGCCGGCCGTCCGCCATGCTGGACCGTAAACCTTCGGACACTGGACCGGGAGCTATTTCCACAACAGCATCCCCTTCCAGCCAACAACCCAATGGCACTGCAAATGGCCGACCTGTCCAGGGGAAACTCATGGTCAATGGGGACGTTCATCCGCCCTACGCCGATGAGTCTTCAATCTCGCCATCGGCCTCGCTCTTACAAATCCCGCAGCAGGATGAGACCGGTCGTTATTCTCCAGAGCCTGATCGCCTAATACTGAGTTCGAAGCCCAGCCAACCGCGCCACTCCTCCCCTCCCGCCTCATCCGCACTCGACGCTGCCTCCGTGCCAGAATCGCAGAACTCCAGTATGCGACAGCGACATTCATTGCAGGTTCCGAGAACGCCTAGTGTTCGACGAGATAGCCGAGAATACACCGATGATGCTGCGTACAGTAGTGGCCGAATGTCACCGACGACCGGCTTCCGACGCGCGTCAGTCGGTCTTATTAGACGGGCAACGAAAAACAGCACCCAGCAAGATATCACTTTGGATGAGGCACCACCGGATGAAGATGCGGCCCGATGGGCCGAAGCTATCAAACAAAAGCGAGCCTCGCGACGACGTCGCGAAGAGGAGGACGACGATCGGGTGATTGTGGGCACCAAGGTGGACCAGAACCACGTCAACTATGTGACGGCATACAACATGTTGACTGGTATCCGCTTCACGGTCTCGAGAATCAACGCGAAAATGGACCGTGAACTCACCCCGGCGGATTTTAATGCCAAACACAAGTTCTCCTTTGACATGTGTGCACCCCTTCTAATGTTGACAATTTGGACATGACTGACAGTAGCAGAACCGGAAACGAACTGATTCCCTCCGCAAAATACGACTTCAAGTTCAAAGACTACGCACCTTGGGTGTTCCGACACCTTCGCGCCAAGTTCCGCCTCGATCCCGCCGACTACCTAATGTCCCTCACAAGCAAGTACATTTTGTCGGAACTGGGCTCCCCCGGCAAGAGCGGAAGCTTCTTTTACTTCTCACGCGACTACAAGTATATCATCAAGACCATTCACCATTCCGAGCACAAGCTTCTTCGGAAGATCCTTCCTGAGTACTACCGGCACGTGGAGAACAACCCAAACACTCTCATCTCACAATTCTACGGATTGCACCGAGTCAAGATGGCGTACGGCCGAAAGATCCACTTCGTCGTGATGAACAACCTGTTCCCGCCCCACCGGGATATCCACCAGACATTCGATCTGAAGGGCTCGTCGATTGGCCGTGATCTGCAGGAGTCAGATCTCGAGAGAAACCCTAGAGCGACTATGAAGGACCTGAACTGGGTTCGTCGCAACCGTCACTTGGAATGTGGCCCATCAAAACGAGACTTCTTCATTGAGCAATTGAAACGCGACGTTGTGTTGCTTCAAAGACTCAAGATCATGGACTATTCTCTTCTGGTAGGAATTCATGATGCGAGCAGGGGCAATGAAGAGAAATTGCGTGACAAGACTCTTCAGGTCTTCCAGCCAGGAGGCAACCGCGAAGAGGATACGACTCCCAATAACCTGATGCGCACTCCATCGAAATTGGAGAATGAGCGCAAGGCTCGGGAGCTGCGCATGCTCATCAAACGTGAACGGCCTGTTCCACTGGACAAAGCAGCTTCGAAGATGCCAGATGAAATCCTCGATGAACGGAAATATCATGTCTTCTACGCGGATGATGGAGGTTTCCGGGCCACTCATGAGAATGGCCAACCCGGTGACGAGATCTATTACCTCGGTATTATTGATTGTTTGACTCATTACGGAACCACCAAGAAGCTGGAGAACTTTTTCAAAGGACTCTCGCATGACCGGACACAGATTTCTCCAATCCCACCAGAGAGCTACGGAGAGCGTTTCATTAATTTCATTAAGGGAATCACTATGTCGAGGGAAGAAGCCGAACG